CTCCCGTCTGGAAGAGACCCCAAGGTGCACCAATTGCCCTAGGGGACCCCTCAGAGGTAAGTATGGGTTGCAGGCTGTCTCACTACCAGCAACAACACATAAAAGAACTTAAGATTCTTGTTACAGAAGTCAGGTGTTACAGCAGCTGAGGCAGGCATAAGGAAGCTGGTGGGAGAGATAGGGAAACAATGTCCCTGGACAAGGAAAACTTTACATCTTGAACCCAGGGCTCAAGTCAAGCAGTGGAAAAATTTGGCTCTAAAGTTTTGGCAGGACAATTGACCACAAAACTTCTGCCTGATTATGATCAAGTAAAAATTATTCCCCCGAAATCATCTTTAATTAGACTTTCAGCTCCTCATGGAGAGGTTAATTCTTCTGCTTCTCCACGGTCATTGTATACTCCCATGAGGCAAATTTTAGAGAAACAATTAGCAAAAGATGCCGGCGGGGGGGGGGTATAGAAGATATGTTTTCTGTCTGTTCACCTAATTTGATTTAACAAGATCATGAAGTAATTGGCTTAAAATATTGTTTTTCCTCTGTCCCGTTTCCCCCCCCCCCCATTCAGGAAGGGTTTGTTTTTACTGTGCCTGTTTCTGGCAAGCCTCAGCAAGCCTTCTCTAATATCAGGCAGAAGGCTACTGAGCTGTATCCTGATTTTATTAACAGATTGCAGGATGCTTTAAGTCGACACATAGACAATCCTGAGGCTCAAATGAGGTTGTTGCTGAAATTAGCAAAGGAAAACACTACTTCCGAATGCCGAAGGGCAATTATTGGTCTTGGGAACAATCCTGATTTGGCAAATATGATTAAAGCATGTCAAGATATAGGAACAGCCTCTTGTCAAACTAATTTATTGGCGGCTACTTTATTGCAAGGAAGCAAGCCTCAAGGAAAGTATTACAACTGTGATACACCTGGTCATTTTAAAAGGGATTGTCGAAATCCAATGGGCGGGGTATATCTGCAGCCTCCCACAGCCCTTTCCATCAAGGGTCGAAACCAAAAGCAAAATGTCCAAAGTTATTTCATTGGTTGATTTACACATTTACTTAGTCCTTCTTTGTGTCAGATTTATGTTGCAGAATTGAATCCTTTTCATAAGTGTTATCCATCGGCTTTGGTAAATCATTATATGAATGATATTTTAATTGGAGCCCCAAAGATACAACCTAATTGGCTTTCAGAAATAAAAAAAATGATTTAAGTGTCTATGGATTGCAAATTGATCCAGGAAAAAATACAACTGCAAGAAATGTTGCAATGTTTTCTTGCTCCAGTTTTTCTTAGTTTAAAACTACACAAAGATATTTTGCTAATTAATTTACGGCAGTTGCTGGGGATCCTTACTTGGGGTCGCCTGTATTCTTCTTTGCTGGCATATATACTTGGTCCCTTATTTGATTTATTGACCGAAGGAAAACACCCCAAAGATCTGATTCCTTCTGCACTGGCCACAGTTGAGAAGATTAATGATATTTTGATATATTTCAGTTTGTGGATCATATTTCTTATAGAGACTGTCAGCTAACACTTTTGATGTTTTCTACTAATAAAGCTGCCTACGGGACTGTTAGCTGTATTAGAAGACAAACAGACCCCATCCCAAAATGTTTTGCCATTTATCCAGGCAGTTGCTGAATTAATAACTTTGGGTTGCACCTGAGCTTGTTGCAGACATTGGACTGATTTGATTAATATTGTTCTTCCTATTCCGAAATCTGATTTTCAATTTTATTTTCAGAATAAGTTATCTCTTCAGTGTGCTTTAACTGATTATGTGGGCTGTATTGCATATTATTTGCCTAAAGATTCTTGGTTTGCGTGTTTAATGACTTCTTCTTTTCCTGTTCATCTATTGCTTTCGTTTTCTGTGTTTTCGCAAGCTTCTACTGTTTTTTCTGATAGAGGGCGAATGAGAGTGTGATTGCTAGAAGGATTCTCATTATGATACCGGGAAAGTTTCCTACCATGCAATACAGTCGCCTCCACAATTTTTGGAATTGTTTATTGGTATTTTAGCTTTTCACACTTTTTCTCAACAGCTGTTTAATTTAATTTCTGACTTTCATTATAAGTGTCAACTTATTTTTAATCTTTCAGGTTCTTACATCACACCTAGGATTGATTCTAATCTCATGGCTCTGTTCTTAACTTTGCAGCAACCATTACAAGATCAAAAGCATTTATATTTTTTTTCTCACATGCATATTTGTTTCTTCCAGGACCTATTTCTTGAGGCAACAGATATGCAGATGCAGCTGTTTATGTTTTATCTACTCTTTTTTCAGATCCATTCTTCAGTCACTTTTTTTCCCACCAGAATGCCAGGGGGCTGGCATCAGCTTGCCATATTCCACTCGACCAGACCAAGTAGAGTTAATCCCCGTGGTTTGGCCTCTAATCAACTATGGCAAATGGATGCCACCCATGTTCCCTCTCTGGCTCCCCGGAAGTATATTCATTTATCTATTGATACCTATTCAGGAGTGCTTTGGGCCACACCTCAACGAGGAGAAACAGCTAATCATGTTATTTCTCATCTTCTTTCAGCTATTACTGCTTTGGGTAAACCTTTCTCTTTAAAAACTGATAATGGCCTACTCTTCATTGGCCTTTTTGTAATTTTGTAACTCATTGGCTACCCTATAATTCCACAGGTCAAGCCATTGTGGAACGTGCCAATTGGTGCTTTAAGGACTGTCTTCACAAACAATAAAAAAGGAGGGCTCTCAGGTACACAATCAATTTGTTGAATTTGGCGTACCTCAATTTGGCATGGGTAACACAACAGGTTAAAAAAGGTTTGCCTCCCCCTCTAGGGGGATGAGGATATGCTGTGCTTGCTTCTACAGGATCTTTGTGGATTCTAGCACATTGTGTACATCCAGCTAAGGATGTCGTGGTACCAGTCCCTGAATCTGGTTCCAGAAATGGTCAAGATGACTCTACAAACAGCACAGCGGCCAATACGATCTCGTTGGACCAGCTGTCCATGATGTGGGGAAATATGAAAACCCTGACCACCAAAGCACAGGCAGTGTTGCAACGACAACACTGGAACAAATCCCCGAGAACTTGTGCGCTGCCATCTTTGCGGTTTTAACTGCCAATTCCTTAGTCATCATTTTGTTTATGTTTGATTGTTAATTGCTGCCCTTTAGCGACAACAGCTGTCATCTCACCCAAACACTCGCTGGAACAGAGAATGAAGCAAAACCTATGGGTGCAGCTAGCTAATATCACACACACTGATGTCTTTTGCCTATCTGAATCATATGACATGGAAAATTTGCTTTCTACATGTTTTGGTTCATGTTTGTATACCGCCTGCAGTAAAAAACTTCACTGGTTTGATTAATTGCTATTGAATGAAAACTTTAACTATAAGACTATATCTAGTTTGGGGTTGATGCCTTTGATCCACCCCGATGCAATTGCTTTGCACACACCTATGGTAGCAGTTTTTGAGAATATAACGTGTCAAAGTAGTTAATTGTACATCTTCAAGTAAAAACCCTCACTTTCTTCATATTAGTTCACCTGCTTTAAACTGTACAGCTTTTGAGACTTCCTTTTATCCTTGGCTCCCACAAGGATGGTTTTTTACATGTAGTCAAGAAACTTTTAATTATATTCCTGCTAATATTAGTGAAGCACAGTGTTGTCTCAGCCGGTTAATTCCTGTTTTGCTTTCCAAACAGCAACTTCATTCAAGCCGTTCTCGACGTGGAGTCATGCTAGACAGCACTTGTGACTCTGAGACAGCTTCACTTAATAAAGTAAAATATGTAGTATTGGCTATATCTATAGTGGGTGTGCAAGCGCTTGCTGCTTGCACTTATCTTAATATTAATGCTGTTGCATGTAATTTGGCAAAAATAATTAATGCTATTTCTTTAGCTATTTTAGTAATTAATGTGTTGTTTCAATCTTTCAGATGAATCACAAACCATCCAGCACCAGCTCAACATTTTACACAATTTGGCCTCTGATTTGAAAATTGATAGTTTAGGATCCTGGTGGGAAAGCTTTTGTGCTTGGTTGGCCACAGGTTTATTGGGAAATGTTCTACGTTATTTAGTGATTATTTGTGCTATTCTGATTGGTGGGTACTGTTTTGTTCAGTGTCTTCCCTCCCTGTGCAATATGTGTATCACAGCTTTTTGCCCTAAAACCCTCTTCCATACTGCCTCAGTGTCCCATATATGCCCTATATAAGTAATTATGTTCCTCTTTTGATAATGATTTCTTTTATTAACCCCTCTTATGATACCTTGTCTCACAAAATAAAAAAGAGTGAGATGTAGAGGTTATACAAAGGTTATGGAGGAGCCGTGAGCAACAAACTGCCATGCGCCTTGGTAACCGATTACCTCAACTGGCTATGAGTGCACCTAATTAGTGGAACCAGGCACTACCAGGGAGTTACGTGAGATTCTACCCTGGATTGGATGGTCTTAGAGATTGACAAGGAGAATAAGCCAATAAGATGCTGTTGCTACCTATGCTCTTGCTTTGCTTGTTGAGACTGTATAAAAAGCCAAATAAACTCTGCGAAGGCAGACAGACATTTTGGACACCACTGCTGTGATGGATATCCGAGACCTACAAAATTGTATGTAAATTGATAAAAAGACAATGAAGTCCTTTAAATCATTTCTGTTTGGATTTGTGGGTAACTGTAGATAAATGATGCCCATTATTTATTTATTCAATTGATCCTGCTGCATATATGACTCTGGGTTTCTAAATCACAGTTTTAGAACACTACGAATAAACAAAATACAAATAAAAGCCAAAATTGCGAGTGTTGGAAAACAGAGAGCAAGAAGCTATATAAATGACTATAACAAAATGTGGGTGCCTATCCTAACCTTATACTCCCACATAAAATATGAAACCCTCATGCACTGAAAAAAACTGAGTGCATATAAAATTAAGTCTAAATAATGATAATATTTAATATATACTTAATATTATTATTTAATATTATTTAAAAAATCAGTTTCAGATCCTTAGGAAGGACTTGAAGACAAATCCAAATCCAATCTAAATATCTGGCTGACCAATGTTAACAGTAAGTTTAAACACCATAAAATCTGGGCTTGCGATTTGAGAAGTGCCTTGAACATGCTTGCCATGATTAATACACCAGGTTAGAAACCAGGAGACTATGAGTTCTAGTCCCACTTTAGGCATGAAAGGTGACTGGGTGACTTTGGACTAGTCATTCTCTCTCAACTGAACTCCTCACACAGGTGGGAAAAATATGTGGTGAAAGGAATATTGGTATGTTTGGCACCTTGAGTTATATATGGAAATAAAAGAGATATTAAAATAATAATATATAAATGAGAGTACCTGTCCAGCAGTGCTTCATGGAAAGTGCCTTCTTTCCTAGCTTTTTTCAGAATTTTACTATCTTCTTGGCTTACTTTCATTTTGTGATCTTGAAAACTCTGAAACTTCTTCCTAGAAAATAAAACACAGGTGATTAATGCCTTTGATTTTATATTTCATATATATATATATATATATATATATATATATA